ATATCAAATGAAACAAAAGTCTCTGGTATCCACCAGTATCGTGGTTAGTCCTGCTGCTGCCATTGTAATTCTCTGCAATATGTTTTTGTAGTCAGAAAGCAAGTTTTTTTGACAATGTTTCTGGGAGGTCAAGGAGATAAGGGATCATTACACAAATTCCAACACTGATATAATTAGAAGACAGATCACACTGGCTGGCTGCCTTTCTATTTTTTCAAAAATAAGGCTCACCTCTTCAAACAGAAATGACTTTAATCAAAAGTTACTTTACCAAATTTTGCCTCATCATGTCAGAAAAATATGTAAGAAAAAATTCAATGAGATTTACTAAATCTTCCTGTGATGTGCAGTATACTAGGAATCCGGAAATAGCCCCTACTCTTAGAACTCAAGTGCCAGAGTAGACTCCTTTAATAGCAAAATGGTTTAAAATGGGAAAAACAAAGTCACTGAAACTGTCCTGTATAATCACTTAGAAAAATTAAATGGTGCTTTTGCTTGGGTGCCAAGACCAGCTCCTGCTGACTCCACTGTAGTTAAATGCTATATATGGAACTGTGCACGCTGTCAGTAAGTCCTAGTGCCTCTTTCAAAGCTATCAACAGCTCTTTCAGACACTTCTTCCTAGCAAGCCCCTGCAGATGTCACTGTAAATGAAAATGAAAACATTCACAAGAGCCCTGGTGAAACTAAGTGATGATTAAAACTCAGGTTGACAGCAGCTTTTATCAGGAGTGTTGTCACGCTAATCTCACCATGACATGCTCTGCCCACCTGCTTTGCTACAGCCTCTCTCAGGGTCACGACGTATTCATGTGCTGAGGTAAATAAAGTAAGGCATTTCTAAGCAGCACTGTGTCTTCTGGTGCTAATCAGTTTTTCCAAGGCATTCCGTCTCGGTAATGCATGGACTAAAAGCAGTCATGAAATGCAAAGGGCTTAGGATGAGATTTTTTTAACTACAAATGGTTGGCATTTTCTCAAATGTACATGATTAACTATTCCAACTATTAACAAAAATAATAATCACCACCAAGCCTGTATTAGGAACTTTAAATTCTCACTATCATAACTAGGCATTAATGTAAGGAAAAAAGGAAATAGGATATGACAGACTGAAAGCAACTCACCTTTCTCAAGATCTTTCAAGGGATCTCAAAGATGACAAGAACTTTTGATGTCTTTTCTAGCCAATGACCTATCTGCTCTTTAGTCTTCTCTAAATTGAGACTAAAGTATATAAAACAGACAGCCCTGAGCCAAAACACTATGGAATGTTTCTACAAACACCCAAAATCCAGGGGCTCGAAAGCCAGTTTAAAAATTAGCACAGAAAATCAGAAAATCGGAACAAATGCAGAAATAATTTTGAGAAAAATGTCATCCACACTAAGGTGAGGCAGGAAAATCAAAATTACCTACATGTCACAAGAATATACTTTTGTACTGACCAGAAAATCTGTGTCTTCCAGGTTCAGTGTTTCTGTATACATGCCACAGATTTACATGGTATTCCAGTCATAAGGCCATTTTCCTTTGCCAGCAAAGGGCCTAGGGCTGGCAGCTCCTAGGCTTGAAGCAGAAGGCTTGTTGAATATGTGCTTAACAGCTCATCCGAGCAATTCTTTTAGAAAGCACTCTTCCACTCTTGGTTTGCATTTGTTCCTTTGTAGATATATAAGAACTGGATCACCTCTGTTAGGAGAGAGCACTGTTCTCTAGGTATTTCAAGGAGACAGAGAACAAATGCAAAATTTACCTGTGCAGTGCTCTAATGCCTAATAACCTATTCTTGCTCCCTCTGAATCAAGTAGCTCTCAGTTAAACTAGCAATCACATAATACAGAAATACCAGTACTGAAGTACAATACAGTTAAGCAGTTTTTAAATACATACTGGTTTTATCATCAATAATACTGTAAGAGATACAGATGAAAAGGTATAATATGCAAGCATTAGAAGGGTCCCAAGTCCAGGAGCTTCTGTCCCCATGGTGTTGGGTGCACCTCCTTCCCATCATCCCAGAAATTAGTTACACAGCTATTAAAGATCAGCATGGAGGGGAGTAACATAAGCTACCTCCAGAACCAGAACCTGAAAACATGATTACACATGAAGCAGAAATTTAGAAAGCATGGCTAGGGGTATACCTCACTATGTGGGAGCACTTGTCTAACATATGTAAGGCCTTTGGGCTGATCTACAGCACCACAAAAGAAATTTAGGAAACAAACATGTAGAAACATGTATTAACAGTAAAGGAGACTAGTATTCATTTTGCAAGTATTTACTGAATATCAACTGCCATTTTAGGCACCATACTAGATTTTTTTGTTGTTGTTGTTGTTTTCCGGTACTGGGAATCAAACTGACAACCTTGCGCTTGCGCTTGCCAGGCAGGCACTGTGCCGCTGAGCTAAATCCCCAGCCCCTGCACCATACTAGATTGATAAAAATACAGACAGATGTAGCCTGAGCCCTCATGGAACATATACAATCCAGTAAGAAAGAATGATATGAGCAAATAAATCACAACTCTGATTACTATGAAAGGGAAAACTAGAATTCTTTGAGAGTATGTATTTAAGAGAACCTAATTCTAGGGGCTGGGGATTTAGCTCAGCGGCACAGCGCCTGCCTGGCAAGCGCGAGGCTGTGAGTTCAATTCCCAGTACCTGAAAAAAAACACAAACAAACAAACAAACAAAAAAAGAGAACCTAATTCTACTTTTTGTTTTTGGTGAAGGTGAGGGTGCAACACATGCTACAACCTAGAAAACAGAAAATTTAAAAAGCAAAGTATGTATCTATGTTTCTAGCACTAATAAAAGAAATACAAGCAGTCTACCGATTCTCTTGTATATTCCCATTGTGAAAAGATGTACCAGATTCTAGAAACCTGATTATAATCTGCATTCCATCTAATAAATCTTCCTACCTAAACAGTATATACTAATTATCTAATAACATTGTATAATTCAGTCTGTGGCTATATTTCATATTATATGAATGAATAAATAGATACTCTGATCTGTGCGCCAAGATTTTGAGATGAGTTAGCATGTTAGTCTTCTGGAATCAGGTAATTCTGGGTGACAAAGAGTAGCACTGAGGTTCTAAAAGAATCTCAGAAGGCTGATGACTGATCTTGGACTATGTTTCATCACTCAGTTCACCCATCTCTATTACCTTTTAATCTCTGCCCTATTATTTTAATCAATATAACATCAGAAAATACTAGAAAATGAGTTTAAAATCCACTCTGAAAAGAATCTGAGAATAATGGCAATGCATGATTAGCTGTTAAAGGAATGAAGTTTAAAGGGTCTCATCATTCTCTACACCTCAAGCTGCTGAACTCCCAAGGGGACAGTGATAAAAGCCAGAGACAGCAGTTTTTCCAAGTGTGTGTGTGTGTGTATGCATGCATGCGTGCCAGTGTGTGTATATTAAAATACTCATACATACCTCCACTCAAGGCCATACCAGTACCACGATGGCAAATGGACATCACCATGGGAAGAGACCACCTACAAAGAAACACAGAAAGATAATTTTTTTTTTTTTTTTTTTGAGAGAGGGTCTCACTGTATAGTTCAGACTGGCCTGGACCTCACTATGTAGCCCAGGCTGGCCTTGAACTTGTGGCAATCTTCCTGCCTCAGCCTCCCAAGTGCCGGGATTACAGGCATGCGCCACCATGTCCAGGTTACAAAGATAATTTCTAAAAAGGAAAAAATGCCAAGTGTGGTGGCACATGCCTGGAATCCTAGCTACCTGAGAGGCTTGAGGCAGGAGCACTGCAGATTTAAGCCAGGCTGGATAATTTAGTGGGACCCTATTTCAAAATAAAAAAAGAAAAGGTGGGATATGTAGCTCAGTGGTAGAGTGCCCCTAGGTTCCATCCCCAGTACCATATACACAGAAAAGATGACCCCATAGCAGAGAATCATCTTGGCAAAAAACAAAAACAAAAAAACTGAAATAGGCACTATTTAATATTTCTTTTTTTCCTCTTCCTTTTTTTTTTTGAGACAGGGTCTCACTATGTAGTTCAGGCTGGCCTTGAATTCGATATGTAGCCCAAGTTGGCCTCTAACTCACAGCCATCTTGAGAGGTTGCCTCAACCTCTCAAGTGCTGGGACTACAGTTGTATACCACCATGCCCCGCCTATTTAATATTCCCGAATTTCCACTTTCTAATTTGAAATAAAACTGAGCTGGACATGGTGGCTCACATCTGTAATCCAAGCACTCAGGAGGCTGAAGCAGGAGGATCACTGTGAGTTCAGGGCCCGTCTGGGCTACATAAGCAAGTTCAAGATCAGCCTGAACTACATAACAAGATCCTGTCTCAAAAAAAACAAAGCAATATAAAACAAAACCGAAAAAAAAAAAGGAAGGAAGGAAGGAAAGAAGGAAGGGAGAGAGAGAGAAAGAGAGAGAAGGAAAGAAAGAAAGACAGACAGACAGACAAACAAGGAGGAAAGGAAGGAAGGGATGGTAGAACATTTGCATATCTTGCATGAGGCACTACAAAAGACATAAAAATAAGAAAAGTGATTTATTAAGTATTTTTCCCTTTTTATTAAACCGCATTACTGTTAGAGCTGAGACACTATTCCTTTTACAAGGAAAAACGACATGAGTCACCGTGTTGACATCTGTGAAAGTGGGTACAATTAGAAAGTAATCACCAGAATACAACAACCCAGGTCCTTCTGTTTTCCAGTCATAACAATGAAGTAGAAGAAAATCTGATGAGTTTTATTTATCCAGCTTAACAGAAACATATGGTCATTCTTAACTTTTCCTTATATCCCCCAAAATAACCATATTTAATATACCACTATTCTCCAATAAATTACCAAACCCTCAATTTTACATCTACTTTTGCTGGACTTTATATATATTACTTAATCCATGATAGTTCTGAAATACTTTGTCATCAAATCCCTTTTTAAATCATGAATCATCAACTTGCCAAAGCATTTCCATAGAAGGACATCCAACATGTTATTCTACATCTAGCACTCATGCTCAAGAAGGGGATCAGTCAGTAAAACAGAAAGAACAAGAATCTTTAGAGAAAGCTGACATACATTTGGAATGTCAGTACAGACAGAGAATATGGACCATAGTCAGACCACATAGTCAACATTCTGAGGCCAAGTAACTTAAGGTTGAAAAGATCTCAAAAAATTCTACATAGGTAATAAAAATAGTCATAGCTATAATCTCAGCACTATGGAGGCTGAAGCAGAATTACCAGTTTGAGACCAGCCTAGACTACCAAGTAAATCCAAGGCCAGACCAGATACTATGCAACAAGACCTTGTCTTTTAAGAAAAGTAATAATGTTCAAAGAAACAAAAAAGAATTGGCTAATCACTACTTTGATGAATTCATTTTCACTGGACAAATGTAAAAGGTGGAATGACATAACCAAGGACAAACAGAACAATGGCATAATTTGATAAGAATCAGGAGATTAAAACCCAGAATGAGCTGAGACTTGCAAAAATATCAAGGACAACAAAAATGGGCTTTTAAAATTGCACTCAGGGAAAGAAAGCTTCATAGGGATAGACAAATTTATTTATTTAGGGTTTTTCTCCGGTACCAGGAACCGAACTCACGACCTTGCGCTTGCCAGGCAGGTGCTTTGCCACTGAGCTAAATCCCCAGCCACGTGGGATAGACAAATTTATGTTAACTGATGACAGAGTGTGAAATAGACTGCTCAAGTACTTTGTCAGAGATGATTACCAGACTGAAAAAGAAAGACTAAATATTGAATGGAAAGAACTGAAATCCTAAAGAGGCAAGGACATTGTAAGACATTGCTTAGCATTCTGAATGCACTTAGGGTTCCTAAACCAGATAAAATAAAATCCCATGACTGAAAAACACAGCTGAGGGGGCCAGGGATATAGCTTAGTGGCACAAGCGCCTGTCTGGCAAGCACAAGGTCCTGGGTTTGATCTTTGGTACCAAAAAAAAAAGAAGAAGAACAAAAAAGCACACAGCTGAATTTAAATGTTACCCTTATTTTACCTGATTTTTTGGGGGGACAGGGGGTACCAGGGTACCAGGAATCAAACTCAGGACCTTGCATTTGCCAGGCAGGCACTTGTGCCGCTGAGCTATATCCCCGGCCCTGTTACCCTCCTTTTGAAAAGTGGTTAAACACCAAATCTTGGTTAGTCTAGTACTGAGTAGGTAAAACACATTTTATTTTCCAAAAATAACCGAACATTATTTCTAATACCACATAATCTTTGAGAATCTTGTCATTTCTTGCCAGTTAAGTATTTAGACCCTTCCCTTGGGCTCAGGCAAGACTTTATGCCTCAGGAAACAACGCAGCAGAAATCAGGATGCAAGACTCTCCGATTCCCTTCCTCCCTCATGGTACGAGGAAACCTGAAGCAGTCTTATGCACAGTTTACATGCAAAAGCCCATGTAAAGAAAATAAGGGTCCTCTGGACAGTGAGAATAAGGCCAACATGTGGGCAACTGATCTTTGGATTCATTTAACTCCCAGCTTTTCCAATTTCCAGGAGAGGCCCCAGATACTATGGAACAGAGAAAAGTCATCTCTACTATTCCCTGTATAGCATCTTTTTTTTTTTTTTTTTTTTTTTTGGTACTGGGAATCAAACTCAGGACCTTGCACTTGCCAGGCAGGCACTTGCGCTGCTGAGCTATATCCCTGGCCCTACTATTCCCCGTATGAATATTAGGTTAAAGAGTTTAGTACAGAAAATCAAAACTTAATTCACTTACAGAAGAGATGATTACTAGGAAATTCACTTTTTTGGAAATATACTGAGATCCTTTTGAACAGAAGTTACAGCTTATTTATCTTTTATTTCTGATTCCTAAAAGAGTAAGAGCACACTGGGAGGCACCAAAAAACCAGGGGCATAAATTGCATTAATTTTGTTAATAGAATATTAATAAAAGGAATGCTAGAGATAAACAATATACAAATTTTAGCAATTGCTCCCCAAACTGTAGTATCAAGAACTAAATGCATCTCTCCAAAGAAAATACACAGACGGCCAGTAAGCACATGAAAAGATGCTCAATATCACTAATCATTTAGTTCCATGCCTTTCCATTGAACTTTGAAAGTCAGGAATAAAGTATGATTACAGATATCTCAGACACCTTTCCCTAACATATCACGCTGGAAAGAATTCTGTTCTCCATTTCTTTTTTTCCACAAATGTGTCTGGAGTGCCATAACTGGGAGAGGTAACTACATCGTGACAGACTCACTTGAGCAACCTACCATCATTTTTTTTATAGCACTGGGGAGCGGGGAGCAGAGAAAGCTTTAACTATAGATTTAGAATAATTTAGGAAGTTTTCATCATTATAATCCTCCCCCAAATCATGTATTTCTTTTAGAAAAGTTTCACCATAAAGCACCATGAGACCACTTGTTAGTCTCCTTCTATTTTGGTAGAATGTCTAGTTTCTGCAATTAGAACTATCCCTGGAATCTGGGTTAGAAAAAAACCCGAAGGGTTGTGGTATTTGTGGAGGTGGTTAAAATATGGCCAGCCTCCGTAGCAGAAACTCAAGGAAAGAGGGTAGACGAGCTCAAGATGCCTTGCTGGGAAACTTGAGGAAAAAAAGCAGGTTTTCAGCAACTTTCTCAGAGGTCACCAGCAAAAAGTGTTATCAATGGCACTTCTGTGGACAAGAGACAAACATGTATGTATATGATTATGTACACACATGTCTAGGGTTGACTGCAAACATATGAGATATGATTGAAAAATACTGAATGTTTAAATTTCTAAAATTTTATTACAGTAAAAGATACAATGTCATTAGTCCCCCTCAAAATATTCCTCCTCACTAGAAACATACTTATCCCACTGTTCTTGCCACTTTCCAAAGTAGTTCTGGAAGTCACCTTTTGTGAGGATCTTTAATTGTGCTGTTGTGGCTTGATTTTCTGGATCAATTCAAAACATTTACCTTTCACAGTCATTCTGACTTTGGAAGAGCCAAAAGTCGCACAGGGCCAGATCCAGTGCTAAATGAGGACATACTATTATATTTTTATGTGGCTGAAATTGCTAGTAAGGAGTGCTCAAAAAATATGGTGACTGTTTAAAATGAAAAATTTATTTTAATAAAAAACACATTGCCATTAATCCCCTCAAAATACTCTTCCTCTCTTCAAATACACTTATCCATCATTTTTAGCAATGTCTTTTATGGTAATTTTTTTTTAAATCTAAACATTAAACATGTTTTTCCATCACCCTTTGTACATCTTAGCTACATCCACTAAGAGGGCCCAGATACTGATTTCACAGGAGCTATCTTGAAGAAATACTAGACAAATCTGTGAAACTCTGCATATCAAAATAAATAATAAGAGAGTATAAACCCTTTAGGCAAAATATGAAACTTTCAGTCCAAACTGATAAATGAATCAAGATTTACCCTACATAAATAAATAAATCATGTGGGCGTGGCAGTGCATGCCTGTAATCCCAGCACTCGTGAGGCTGAGGCAGGAGGATTGCTGCTGAGTACAAGGCCAGTAGGAACTACATAGTGAATTCAAAGCTAGCCTGAACTACATAGTGAGATCCTGTTCCTGCCCTCCCTTCACAAAAGGGAAGAAAGAAATCTAGGAGATACATGGAATTAGAAAAATCACAATTTGGCAACCATCATAGTAGTCAATGATTTAGGCAAGTAGTATCAACAATGCCAGTGGGTAAATGATGAAAATCAGAGTATTTAGAGCTCCAAAGTAGCTTCCCACAAAATATGGATGAACTGATAAATACACTTACAGTGGAGAAATACAGTAGGCAAATTTTAACCAGTGATAAAAGTTCACATCATGCCCTGGATGCAAAGGAGACCACTGGAGATCGGTCTGCCCTCTGAGGTGGAGGCCCCAGAGCTCAGACCCATGCTACCAGTTAGTCCAACAGGAATGAGAGGGCTTGGGGCATGCTCTGCCTTCTCCCTCTGGCCAGACCGTCATCTCCATCGAGGAGCCCTGGGTAATCATGACTATGGAGGAACAAGAAAACAGCCTGTTGCTAGACACAGGTGCAAGTCTCTCGGTCCTTCTTTTTCAATCCTGGCCTTCCTTCCAGCCATCATACCTCAGTGAAAGGAGTCACTGGTGAGGAGGTAATATGCTATTTTTGACAACCCTTAGGCTGTAACTACTTAATAGGTCCTTCTTGCGTATCTCTGTCTTCCTGAGAAACCACTTTGAAGATACCACCACGTATTACAGCAGCCATTGATATTTTCCTACTAACCTATCCATAACTGTGTAAAGTTTGTAATGTTCCTATCCTATTTCATAAATGGATGTCTGTTTATTATTATGTGTTTCCTACAACAACCATTGAGAATAGTTAATGATTTTTCAATAGGTCACTCATGTATAGCTCTATTTATTTTCTTTAGAAGCCACTTTGAAGATACCAAAGTATAGTACAACAACTCTTGATAATCTCCTACCTCTTTTGTCTGTAACTCACTATTATTTGTCTATTTGTTTTCCTGAGAAACTATTTTGTAGATAATAATATGTAAAACGATAACCATTGATAATTTCCTACCATTTTGTCTGTAATTTGCTAAGTCCCCCCTATTATTATGTTATCCTTCTTTTATTCTTTAAAATAAAAAAAATAAAATTATGTACTCAAAAAAAAAAAAAAAGTTCACATCACCCGTAATTGATGAAATGATCATGTAGCTCCTGATAGAATGCACTGAGCAGAGTACAGCATCACTTCAGGGGAACTGCTGCCCAAAATGCATACATCACAAAAAACTGAGATCGAACTCTAACTGAGGAGGGGCTGGGGATTTAGCTCAGTGGTACAGCGCCTGCCTAGCAAAAGCGAGGTCGTCAGTTCGATTCCTGGTACAGGGGTGTGGGGGGCGGGGGGGACACAGACATAACAACTCTGAGGAGCTAAAAATGCCGAGGTCATAAAAGATAAGGAAAGACTAAAACACTATTCCATACTAAAGAGGTGTGACAACTAACTGCAATACAAATTCTGGATTCGATCTTAGAGCTGTAACGGACATTAGTAGGCAACTGGGAAAATCTGCATCTAAACCTAAAGTTTAGATGGTAGCATCAGATGAATGTTAATTTCTGATTGTTGTGATTGTATTGTAGAATGTTTTTAAACTGAGGAAAAATAAGCTGGGCATGGTGGTGTATGGTGGTACATACCTGTAATCCCGGCATTATGGGAGGCTGAAGCAGGAAAATTCCAAGTTCAAACCCAGCATGGGCAACTTAGCAAGATCCTATCTCAAAATAAAAAATAAAAAGACTGGCGATATAGCTCATTGCAAGGGCTGTGCATTTAATCGCCAGTAAAAAGCACATACACATGAGGAAATACACTCTCAAGTTTTAAAGAGTTCTGATAAGCAGAATTATGACCCCACTAACAAAATATACAGCTATCCTAATTGTCTAGATGGTTCCAGTGTAATCATAAGGCTCTTTAAAAGTAGAAGATGTTAACAGAAGATACAAAGAAGAAATGTAGTAACACAAACAGGGTCAACACAATAAGATTGGGTAAGTTGATCCACCACTGCAGGCTGTCAAGATGGAAGGAGACCACAAGTCAAGGAATTTGAGCAGTCTTTATATTATAAGCTGGTTTCCAGGTAAGGGATTGGACTTTCCCTGTATCCTCCCAAACAGAACACAGCCTTGCCTATGTCTTGATTTCAGCACAGGGAGACCTGTGCTGGAGCTCTAACCTACAGAACTATAAGAAAGTAAGTTTGTGCTACTGGTCATTTTTGTTTTGTTTTGTTTTGTTCTGTTCTGTTTTATGTGACAGGGATTGAAGCCAGGGCCTGACATATGTTAGGCAAGTACTCTACTCCAGCACAAATTTGTGTTGTTTTTAAGTGGTCACATTCGCAGTGTAGTCACCCCTTGGTATCCATGGGGGGACTGGTTCCAGGGCCCCTCCCTGGGATACCAAAATCCATGGATGCTCAAATTCCTTTATAAGGTCACGTGTGGTGGCACACACCTATAATGCCAGCACTCAGGCGGCTGAGGCAGGAGGACTGTTGCAAGTTCAAGACCAGCCTGGGCTACAAAGTGAGCTCAAGGCCAGCCTGAACTGCATAGCGAGACCCTGTCTCAAAAAGACAAAAAAAAAAAGTTCCTTATACAAATTTGCACAGTATTCACATAACCTACAAGCATCTCTAGATTACTGACAATACCTCATACAAATAAACATTATATAAATAGTTGTTGTACTATATTGTTTAAGGAATAATGACAAGAAAAAATGTATGTGTTCAGTACAGATACAGTCTTCTTTCTATTTACAGTGCTATAACTTTATATACACCAGACCCATGCTCTACCACCAAGTTACAGTCCCAACCCAGGTTAACTTGTTTCTTCTACCCACCCCTCCCATGCTAGAGATTGAACCCAAAGTCTTTGCACTGAGCTATATTCCCAGCTCTTTTTATTTTGATAGGGTCTTTGTGATACCACACCCAGAAGTAATTTGTTCCTTAAATTTCACAGATGAAGAAAAAATTTCAGTAGAAGTTATACCCAGAACCTTACCTGTACCTGATTTGGATGGTGAGGATGAAGTGAAATTTTAAAACTTTTGAGCAGGGCTGGGGATATAGCTCAGTGGCACAAGTGTCCACTTGGCAAGCACAAGGTCATGAGTTTGATCCCCAGTACCACAAAAAAAATTAAAAAATTAAAAAATAAAAAAGTAAAACTTTGAGTAGATGCTACAATGGGCTGAAACTCTTGATCACTGGCATGAGGATGAATGTATTTTGCACACTGGACAAACATAATCTTTGGGGGCTAAAAGGTAGACTAGTGGGCACCCCACAAAGGTGTCAATGTTTTAATTCTTAGCACCTATGAATATATCTTACACCAAAAAAGGACCTCAGTGATGTGATTAAATTCAGGACCCAGTATCGACTGATTGTCCTGGATTATCTGGGTGGATAACAGTGAAATTTACTAGAGTCCTGAATAGTAGAAAGGGAGGCAGAAGATTAGAACTCTGCTGTGTTACAAACTGAGGACCTGGCTGTCACCTGCTTTGAGGATAGGAGCCAAGTATGGCGGTACACCTCTGTAACCCCGGGTACTCAGGAATTCAAGGCCAGTCCCACAAAAAAGATAGAAGGCCATAGCCAAGGAATGTGGGAGGCTTATAAAAGCTACAAATGGCAAGGAAACTGAATCTGCACTAGGGCCAATGGAAAAGAAAGCAAATCCTGATGATACCTCAATCACAGATCTGTATCACACACCTAAACTACAGGACTATAAGACCGTATATAAATTTGTGTTATTTTAAGCCACTAAGTTTATAAAAATGTTATAGGGCAACCCTGTCTCAAAAAAAAATTATATGGAAATAATGGGGCACTGTTTCTATAATTTTTTCTTGAATCATTCAGATATGTTAATAAGCTGGCAATCTACATAAAGGTAGATGGGAACTCTGTTATTTCAGCAACTTTTATGTAAATCCGATACTATTTCAAAAACTTTTTTAATTAATGGAATTACATTTGACTTATCAAAATTTCCTAAATTATAGTTTTGCAAAATAGATTAAGACACCGGGCATGGTGGTGCATGCCTGTAATCCCAGCACTCGGGAGGCTGAGCCAGGAAGATCTTTGTGAGTTCAAGACCAGTCTGGACTACAAAGGGAGCTCCAGGCCAGCCTGAACTGCATAGCGAGACTCTGTCTTAAAAAGACCAAAAAAAAAAAGATTAAGACTAGAAGACAGAATTTAGTCATCTCCACATAAAAAAGGCCTGAGATAACCTTATGTTCTCTCCCTCCACACTGAAGGGTTCAACTCATTTATACAACTGTAAGCCTGCTGAGTAAATATTTCTCACCAGTTGAGGGCAATATCAGGGACCAGAAGGCTGAGGACCAACCTTCAGAATTTTACCTATTATCCCTAGCTTCTCTGGTGCAAGCCCTTACCTGTAGATAGTGACATGGGGAGATACAGGACGGTTTGACCCTGTGTTCTTATTCCAGAACCTCTCCATCTCTTCTTTGGCTGTGGTTCCCAAAGGCACAGCACTAAAATAAAACCAAGTTTTAAAAGAATTAAAAGTAAGCTAGGTTTAATATTTTACGTAACAAAAGTTTGTTTTTTTTTTTTAAAGGCAAGGTGAACCGGACAAACCTCCCGACATAAGAAAACATTCAAACATGCTCCGCCAACTGCCTTATCTTTATACTACGTTTGATTCAATTAATAACCTTGACTATGGTTGGGCATGGTGGTGCCCGCCTGTAATCCTAGGATTTGGGTGGCTGAGGCAGGAAGATTGCTGAGACTTTGAGGCCAGCCTGGAATACTGAGTGAAATTAGGGCCAGCCTGAACTACATAGCGAGACCCTGTCTCAAAAAAAAAAAAAAGCCAACAACAAAAATACCTCAACTGGTACTACAGGAGTGGCTCAGTAGGAGAGTGCTTGCTTAGCATGCACAAAGCCTTGGGTTTGGTTTCCAGTACTGCAAATAAATAAATGAATAAAATAATTTAGGGGAAAATCCATCAATTGCCCAGTGAAATTATATCAGAGGATAATTCTTCTAATTCTTACTAATAGGACCAGCAATGAAAGCTAAACTTCTGTGGCCAAATGTAAAATTTTAACTCCATTTGAACAAACACAGGTCTCGGGTACTGTCTCATATATTATCATCTGTAGTCTTCTGTCTTTCTAAGGACAGAAAGTTCTTAAAAATCAAGATCTGAGAGGCTGGGGATTTAGCTCAGTGGTATAATGCCTGCCTGCAAGCGAGAAGTCCCATGTATGATTCCCGTTACACCCCACCCAAAATCAAGATCTGCTAGACTTGGAGACTTTCATAGACTTTCAGTTTGTCATACCAGAGAGGCAATGCGATATTTACACATGTGTGTCTGGTTTATTTCACTTAAGAGTATGGTCTCAAGATCTATCCATTTACCTATGGAAGTCTCAAGTCTAGCAGATCTAGATTTTAGGTGGGGTGTAACAGGAATCATACATAGGACTTCCCCCTTGCAGGGGACTTCTAGCTTGCAGGCAGGCACTACACCACTGAGCTAAATCCCCAGCTTCTCAGATCTTGATTTTTAAGAACCTTCTGTCCTTAGAAAGACAGAAGACTACAGATGATAATATATGAGACAGCACCCAAGACCTGTATTTGTTCAAATGGAGTTAAAACTAAAGACGAACCAAAATGTATAACAAAATTGTGAAATAGGAATTCAAAAGGAAAGAGGAACTGGGGGTGGGGGGAGAGGAAAGGAAGGAAGAAAAAAAAAATGAGAAAAGAAGAATAACATGGAAACAAATCTTTGTAAATAAGGAGGGGAAAAGGGATTGAAGGAGGGAAGGGTACTGGAGAAAAAAAGGAATCAAGATATATCATGTACAGGTACAAATTCCCTATGATGAATGTGATCACTAGGTATACCTAAATTGTACCAATAAACTTAACTGAAGAAAATCAAGATCTGCATTCACTTCTGTACCTCTGAAGAGTTTCTTGGGTGGTTTTTTTTTTTGGTACTGGGTATCGAACTCAGGACCTTGTGCTTGCCAGGCAGGTGCTTGCGGCTTTTTTTTTTTTTTTTTTTTTTTTTTTTGTGACAGGGTCTTACTATGTAGTTTGGGCTGGCCTTAAACTCATTATTTGCCCAGACTGACCTCAGTGATCTCTCTGCCTCAGCCTCCCAAGGGCTGGGATTATAGGCATGTGCCACCATGCCCAGCTCTTGGTTTCTCTTGTCAGTGGGTTAAAATGAAAGCAACCACTGAACAGTTATGCTCAACCATTCATTATGTGATTATATTAAGTATTCTAGGGCTGAGGGTGTGGGTCAGTGGTATAGTGCTTGCCTAGCATGCGCAAGGCCCTGGGTTCAAACCCCAGAACATTAAAAAAAAAAAAAGAAGAAGAAGAGGGAAAAAAAGAAAAACACAACCAAGAAAAACTCCACTGAAACATGATTCCATTCCCCTAAAGAAAATATCTCAAGGGCAGAGCAGCTCCATGGCTGAGTGCACACTTACTATGTACAAAGCCTTAATAAGATCAATGGCCAGTAGCAATTAATAAAAAAGTACAAAAGGAAAACATTGTTACTTTATGGTAGGAAAATACCTACTTCTTTATTCAAATGATCAAAGTTAAAAATAATTAATAATGAGACAAACAGCATCATCTGGCCCTTGATATGATGTACTGTACTAATGTTTCTAATCCTTAGAAAACAGTCACACAAACTCAACTTGTGAAACACTACAAAACAATTGGCCTATATTATTCAAACTGTCAGTGTCCTAAAAAACAAAGGCTAAAACACAGTTCAAGACTGAAAAATACAGCCACGGATGGTAACACACATCTGCATTCTGGAGGGCTAAGGCAAGAGAAGCGTAAGTTCGAGCCCAGCCTAGGCAATTTAGCAAGACCCTGTCTTAAAAAAAAAATTTTTTTTTTTATTTTAAAGAGAAAAGAACAAAAACAAAGACATAAACAAAACAATGTAAAAACAATAAAAACGATACAGAATTTCAAAACAAGGTGATAGGAACTCAGAGCAAACTGATAGAGTAACAGAAAAAAAAAGCTGAAAGAGGAAAATTTTTAAAAGATCAAATTAATACCCTTCCTTTCTCTACTCCCAGACAGAAAAATGGTGGGGGCTATGGTGTAGATCAAAGGTAGAACACTTGCCTGGCAAGTGTGAGGCCATGGGTTCAATTCCCAGAACCAGAAAGAAAGAGAGAGAAAAGAAATCAGAACACTTAGAGACAATGATTATTAAATTTTCAGCCAACTATTTACAAATCCCCCAAATCTAAATTAATAACCTATTGCTTTTCCCTGAGGAAAAAACAAGTTAAATAGTAATAATAATATCCACAGACTTAGAAACTTACTTTCTGATGCAGAACTGAGGACTAAGGTGGGAACGGAGGCAATGACGGCCAGCATGTCTGTAAGGTAAGAGTCAAGAATCAATACACATTTAGAGATAACCTCCATATATCAACTTCTCCATGTTTGTAGTATATTGGACTTAGGGGCACAGGAATAGATTTAAAATGAGAGCTGACTCTGTAGCTCAGTGTAGAGTGCTTGCTTAGCAAGTATGAGGCCTTGGGTTTAATTCCCAACACTACCAAAACAAAAACAAAAACCAGAGTAAACCACTGACAACAACAAGCATATAGTTTAGCTACAGGAGAGACCTGTTGTACTTAGATTAAAATTTGAGGAACAAGGGATCTACGGAAGGAAGGTCCTAATAGCAAGTCAGATAATTTCAGGAACCAACATCAAGGGCCAGACAATGTGAAAGAACTTCAAGTCAAAAAGCCTCCACGTAATAGTACAAAGAATTTTTGATACTCCCATGAAAAAATATGCAGAGAGGATATGTAAATTTTCTACTTAAAAGTTGCTATTTTTGACATGTATACATTAGTGCCAGAACTGCTTTTCTTTTTTTGTTGTTTTCTTGGCTTTTTTGAGACAGGGTCTAGCTATCTAGTTCAGACCGGCCTTTCCTTGAACTCACTATGTAGCCCAGGCTGCCCTCAAACTCACCACAATTCTCCTGCCTTAGCCTCTGCTTTTCAAGTCAAAAAGTGACATGTGACAAGGTGTTTTATTAAGGCCAATTACACTAACCCAAAATTTATGTCATATTAGGAAAAACATAAAGCTATTATACCCTTTAGTCATGTCATTACATAAAATCTTTCTAAAATCAACAAAGGTGATCAGTGATAGTCTAATAAAAGTAAAAATTAAAAATCTGTTGATTCTACAAAAGTTTACTATACACGCATCATGTAGCAGCAAAGCACTTAGGAACACAAGTCTCATGTAGTTACAGCTATCTTTTAAAACAGTTCATGAGCTGGATGTGGTGGTGCACACCTGCCACCAATTTGAGGCCAGTCTGGGCTCAAAACCAGGCCGAGGGCCGAGGATACAGCTCAGCAGCTGAAGTGCCTGCCTGGCAAGCTCAACTGTCAGGTCCTGAGTTTGATTCCCGGTACAAAAAAAAAACAACCAGGCTGAAATACATAGCAAGACCTTGTCTCAAAAAATCAAATATGCTTTGATTTGATCAAATAGCAAGTTCATGATATCCTTCATATCACTGATACTAAACACTTCAAGAGTCTTACACTTTACAGTAGTACACTAAAAGGCTCCATAATTTTAAAGGAAAAAATTCAACCAGTACTGCTTTCAGAATCCAGTTCTTCGTTCTTCCCAGCTTTAGAGGCAAGAGGTGAATACAGACATTGTATACCCAAGACTCCCAGAAAGAAGTGGGAACAAATCTCTTTAATCAACTGAATTGTCTCTGAAGTTGCAGGGGATGCATTCCTTACACCAGGCTAGGCCCAGTTACTCGGCCACCCAGCAAGAGTTTGTAGATGTGGGCTGGAATCTATGGCAAGTTCTGTCTAGTGCTATTGTTTTCCAGACAAATATGAATGTAAGTGTTCCACAGACCCTTACAGAAATGAGTTGCACAAACTCTATAACCTTATTTGAAATATAACAAAAGGAAATATCTATTTTCTTTCATATAAAACTAGGAACTCTGAGATTTTATTTCTCACTAAGGAATGGTACTTAAAATGTTATAGCTAGATGGTAACATTTTTTGTTTGCCTCACTGTGTAACTCAAACACATCAATTCTTTGTGAGGCCAAGTTGGCCTCAAACTCTCACAATCTCCCGCCTCAGCCTCCTAAATTCTTGGATTATAAGTGTGTGTCACCACACCCAGTCTTTTGGGTTTTTTCTGTTTTTGCTTTTCATTGTTTTTTAGAGTATTTATTTTTTCCCTATTCTCTTTCCCCATCTCCTTCCATCTCTTTTTTAAAAGCCAGAACCTATAATTTCCAGTTAGCATTTTCCTTTTTATTCTGTTTTCTTAATTTCAGCACTGTACCTTTCAAAATGCATTATAAATGTCTCCCGAAAACTGTCAATCATTTCTGAAACTCCTCCGGATTAGGGCAGCAATACTACTAGGAAGAACTCCAGAAAGTAAAAATGCCAGAATGTCTTAGATCTACATGAGTTATATAACTTGAGGGAGTCACTGACCTTCAGCTTTTCAATTTATAAAATGAGACTGATAAGATACACCTTCTTGGTATAGGGAGGATTAATAAGAAAATGCACAGGATCACATTATGTGTAAGATATTATTTCACTGGTCTCCCTAAGGCCTTTACAATTCACATCACATTCTTAAAACCCTCAGTGGTGACAAAAATATTCATCTGTGGAAAATGGATTTGACTTGTGGGAAAAAAAAGTTATTCAAAGCCAAGTCTATGCAACCAAATTGAGTATTATTTTTAGTCCAATGCAAGATGCTACTATAATATAAATGAGTTTCTCCTACATGACCTATAAACTTCACCAACGGCATCCCAAAAGTTTCATAAATGTCTGCATAACAAGAATAAAATAAATATGCAACCTTCAGTGACATGCTGCAGAGGAATCATTTATATACAGACAAAGCAGGAATTTGCAGGCCTTTGCTCATTGTTCGAATGGAAACTCTCAGTCTGAAAAGTTCATCCTTCAAAACCCAACTCCTGATATCAAAAATCATCATTTTTCAGTCTACTTGCTGTGTCTGCCATGCTTCCCTTCTACTTGTTCATATCTTTATGCCAACAGTACATTGTTTAATAATTCATCTAGTTATCTGTCCTGCTAGACTTTGAGCTCCTTGAGGTTAGGACTGGAACACTGCACTTATGCCTGTAATAATGTCTGACACATAGAAGAGGTTCAAAAATGATCATGAATGAGTACGGGTTTTTTGGTTTTTGAAACAGGCTCTCAGTATGTGCTTCAGGCTACCCTTGAACTCACTATGTAGCCCAGGCTTTCCTCAAACTCAGTGATCCTCCTGCCTCAGCCTCCCAAGTGCTGGGACTACAGGCATGTGTTACCAAGCCCAACGAGTATGGGGTTTTGCTTTGTTTTGGTGCTGAGGATCAAATCCAAAGCCTCCTCCTACATGTTAAGCAAGGCTCTACCTCTGAGCTTATTTTAAAAAGCAGTGATTGAGAGTAATTGAGTAATTGAGAGTTAAGCTTTACTTTTTAGAGGTGCTTATAATAATAGCTTACATTATAAGATAGCTGACTGTTGCTGACTTTGTGCTTAGACAGCACATACATTATTAGTCAGAAGCCCAGCTATCCCTTACTTAGTTATTCCTTCTTGACTTTGGCAAGTCATTCCTTGACTAAGCACCAAGGGAGTTTGTGTAACTTGGCTGCTGTTCATCCCTGGCTGGTCCCTGAGCTGTTTTAGGAACATACCAAATACAGAGCACTATTCAAAAGCCGTGATACACAATACTCTTGTAACTAATTTTTAATTGGCAAGTCATTAAAAGTGTTTAACTGGGAGGCTAGTTTAGGGAAATATTGGTCACAAAATACATTCTAGGTAACGAGTGCGCTACTATGCAACATGGTGAGTTTTTTTTTTTTTTTTTTGAGACAGGGTCTCCGCTATGTAGCTAGTTCAGGCTAGCTTTAAATTCACTATGTAGCCGGGCGTGGTGGCACACGCATGTAATCCCAGCACTCGGGAGGCTGAGGCAGGAGGATAGTTGTGAGTTTGAGACCAGCCTGGGCTACGAAGTGAGCTCAAGGCCAGCCTGAACGGCACAGCGAGACCCTGTCTCAAAAAGACAACACCCCCCAAATAAATTCACTATGTAGCCCAGGCTGGTCTCAAACTTGCAGCAATCTTCCTGCCCCAACCTCCCAAGTGCTGGGATTACAAATGTACGCCACCACACCCAGTTGGTGATTTTTATTTTTTAATGAATATATAAATCATGAAAAAACATAAAATTTGTACATATTAATGGGATACTATGTAATGTTTCAATATACCTATATTGTGCAATGTTTCATAATAGTAAAACAATGTTACATATGGGAGTAGATTTCAAGTGTTCTCACCACTCCCAAAAAATAAGTGTGGGGGTAACACATGTTGATTAGTTACACTCAACACAATGTATATATATTTTGAAACACATTGTACACTATATATATATTTTTTGTCAATTAAAATTAAATACACTTTTTACAAAGGCCCACTATTTCTCTTAAGTAGGCCTCCTTATTATTTTCAACTCACAAATAAAGAAACCACACTCATAGAATCAAAGACCTTGACGTGTCCAAAATAAATGAAAGTAGTGACAACACTAAAACTATACTTCTTCTTAGCAAGTCTTTCTCTTTTGTTGGTACTCAAAATCGAACTCAGGACCTTGCGCTTGCCAGGCAGGCACTTGTGCCACCAAGCTATATTCTCAGCCCTCTTTCTTTTGTCTTTCTGAGAAAGGGTTTTGCTATACAGTTCAAGCTGGCCTTGAACTTGCAGTGATCCTCTTACCTCAGCCTCCCGAGTGCTGGAATTACATGTGTGCACCACCACAGCAGGCCAGAAGGTATTTCTATGAAACCCTTGTGAGGTATTTCTATGAAACCCTTGTGAGAAGGACAGGCCCTTCCCATGAGAACCTCACATTACCACTAAGGAAAAAGAAGTCTCTTATTAGCACTGAATCCTAGTGTAGACAGTGCTACACAACTCAAGGTGATAACATCTGGATACACTTAATGACTGGTAACAAGGGATTAGTCCCAGTACCTCCAGCAGATACCAAAATCCATGGATGCTCAACTCCATTCCATAAAATGCAGTAGTGTTTGTATACAAAGGTTGACTTAAAAAACGTATGTTTAAATTTTTTTTAAAATGTGTTACCATAAAAGACACATGGCCATTAATCCCCCTCAAAGGTCAGGCATGGTGGCGCACGCCTGTAATCCCAGCACTTGGGAGGCTGAGGCAGAAGGATCGTTGCAAGTTCAAGACCAGCCTAGGCTACATAAGTGAGCCCAACACCAGCCTGAACTGCATAGCGAGACACTGTCTCAAAAAGAAAAAAAAAATCCTCCTCAAAACATTCCCCTTCACTTTGAACACACTTATCCCACTGTTCTTGCCACTTTCTGACGCAGTTCTAGAAGCCCTCTTTTGTGTTTTTACAACAAATTATCAAAAATAGTGAATGCTGCTCCTGAGTGCCATCTGCTAGAAAACCAACCTCATAAAAATATTACTGTGCATCCTTATCTATCATTGTGAGACTTCTAGCTCTTCCCCAAAGTCAAAATAACCATAGAAGGTAAATGTTTTTAATCAAGCCATGTCATCAAGGCAGCCATGACACTGCAACTAAAGATACAAAAAGACACTTCTGGAACTGCTTCAGAAAGTGGCAGAAACAATGGAATAACTGTGTTCAAAGCGAGGGGAAGGATTTTGAGAGAGATTAATGGCCATGTGTATTTTCATGTGTCTAATACATTTAAAGTCACTGTATTTTTTGATCATATCACACATATACTTTAATTATTGGTAGTTTATAACAATACAATGTAAATGCTTGTAAACAGTTGTTATACCATATTTCAAGTAATGACAAAGGAAAAAAAGTCTGTACATGTACAGTGCAGATACAACCAATTACAAGTCTAACTACACAGTACACAAATGAAGTGAGGCAAACAATTCTCCAACATATGGTGCTGCAGATTAAGGATCTGTGAAAGGGTGGGAAGCTACAGCAGGGTATAACAACATATCCCTTTATTCACTTGGACTCAGTGTAATGCTTAGCTGGTGGCAAGTTCAAGTTCTGCTTTTTGGAACTTTCTAGAATTTGTTTTTCAAGTATTTCCATCTGAGGTTGGTTGAATCGATGGATAAGAAACCCATGGATAGGAGAAGCAACCATATAACGAACTTCATCTTCTAAACACTAATCCTGAAACTCATAAAACAAAACTATTTAACCAAGCAAGTGGCACAAACCTGTATGCCCAGTACTGGGAGGCTGAAGCAAGAGGATCAAAGTTTGAGACCAGCACAGGCAAATCTGCAACTTAGATCCTGTCTCAAAATTTAAAAATTGAAAAGGGCTGCAATGTAGCTTAGGGCAAAGACCCTGTGTTCAACCCCCAATACCACAAAAAATAAGGAAAAAGAACACTTGAAACCCATGTTTCAAGCTCAATGTTAGTTCCTCCAAAAGCGCCTAGTGTCTGTTATATATATATGTCAAAGAACTGAAAAGTATTCAATTATGATAAAATCATCAGGAATTAAAGGAGGCAGTTCTGGTAACAACGGCCTTAGTACATTTTAGAGAAAGACATATACGTATCTTTATATAAAGATGAAGGAGAAAATGAAGGATTAAGATAATTGATTTCGGGGCTGGGGATTTAGCTCAGCGGCAAAAGCGCCTGCCTGGCAAGCGCAAGGTCGTGAGTTGGTTCCCGGTACCGGAGAAAAACCAAAAAAAAAAAAAAAAAGTAAAAAGATAATTGATTTCAACTCCAAGGGGAATCATTTTTTCACAGAAAAAAAAAACTAAACAAAGACCCTCTATTTTTATACTGTGTGACTAAACTGGGAAGAGAAATGAGAAGACATTTGGAGAAATCAAGGACTGAAATCTCAACAGCACTGAGTCTAACTTTCCATAACAAATAGTTTCCAAAAATAGGGCTGGCACAAAATTATGCTGGGATGTGTACCAGGAATGTCCAAAGGTGCTAATCGTTAGGACTAGAAAGGCTGAATAGAGAATGAGACATAGACAGTGGAGAGTTCAGAAGGAAAGGAAATCTAGGATATTTCTCTGGACAGTGAATCGAATTTTAGAGTAAGAATTGTAGAGTAACCACTCAATGGTTCTCTATCCCCAGGTAAAAATAAATATGAATTAACTGGGGTGCAGCAGAGGGCCAACCCACAGCTGAAATGGTAGGAATCCAGATTTCCCTCACCCTCTGCCAGTGGTCGGTTAGGAACCTGCACAGGGCCTACTCACTGCCAGCAGCAGCTAGTTTTTGCAGAAGCAGCAAAGGCAAAGCACACCAAGATATTCCCCCACCCCCACCCCACACAGCATGGCCCAACCCCTAAATACGATCTCCAAATTGTAGGACCAGTGGTCAGCTACCGCGAGATTAAAACAATTTTTACAAGGCTCGGCTCTGGGTGCGACCACATGAGCAATTTCGGGGAGAAGGTTCAGAAGTGGATGAAGCAGGAAAGGTGACAGCCGCGCCACTCCTGAGTACGGAATAAGTGACCTCGAAACCCTACGGAGTTGCAAGGCAGAGGCTTGGGGGAGGGGAGGGGCTCCTAGGATTCCAGAGCTCGCGGCCTGCACACCCACGGATCCTTTCCTTGCCGGAGCACAGGATAAAACGCTGTCGGCAAGATGTGAGGGACTAGTTCAGGACTCCCAAAGGTTGTGGGTACCGACTTCCAGCCCCAAGTTAAAGTCACCTCAACAAGAGCGCCGCCATCTTCGGTTCCGGCCTGGACGGAAGTGACGTAGCTGCGCTGTGGTTTGACGGCACGGAGGGGCGGAGAGGGGCGAGTCAGTCACATGACAGCACTGAGCTCATTAAACGGCTGAGCATGAGTTCCGCTGGCTGCCCCTTCCCGGTTGATAATTTTTTTTTGCAATTTTTTTGGTCTTCTGTATTGCTTGCCGTCGCAGATTTTTGCCAGTGTTTGCCAGGATTTTTGCAAAAACGCCGCTAGCTTGAACTCTGCAATGTGCGTTTTACCCGCGTACACTTTCATCTTGTACTGCTCTACCAAACGGCACCTTTTATCAGATCGTTCTCTGAGGGTTTCCCAGTCTCAATTTCACTCCATCTCCTAAGTCGGCCTAAAAACGTCCGGTGGGCTGGCTGAGACATCTTTCCTTTCTACTGTGTAGCTTCAGCCAGAAAGAGCACACATTGAGATCCAATTTAGGAGAGTGAGCCAGGGCAGCGACCACCATTCCCAAGGACTAGGAGCTGCTTCTAACCACCAAGGTTAGGCCCCACCATTCCTGGGCTTGAGCTGCTTCGTGAGCTAGACGCCCACCAACCAAAGACAACGCTCCCTTGTTCCATGTTTCAATCCTATGTGGGTGACACCCACAATCAGAGGAACCTGGGATGTGGGGGAGAACCCGCTGTGATTTATACAGTTAGGAGGAACTGTATATAAATAGTTTTGAGGAACACAAGCAGAGAAATCAATTGCAGAGCACTTGGAACTAGAGAAAAAGTGCAAGTGAAAAACGAATAAAATGGAATACAGAAGTCCTTGAGCCTTTAGGGAGTGGGGAGGAGTAAAGGGGGCATCCCAGAGCAACTTCTTTTCAACAGTAAAACATGCTCAGTTATATTAATATTCAGATTTCATTTATATTTAGCACTCCTGTATTTTTCCTTTCAGGATTAAAATAGCACAAATTCACTTCTTTTCACAGGAAGTGAATAAAGCTATTTTGCATTTCTGTAATGCTTGACAGAGAAAGCATTTTCATAGACTTTAGGATTGGAAAGGACCTTTGAGGCTGGCCAATCCAACCTGTTATCCAGTGCACGAGTCTCCTCTGCAGTTCCTCGGATCTTCGAGACTGCTCCAGCACATTTTATGATGGATACCTAAAACAACAACAACTTTTAAACAGTTTAATCATTAGAAAGTTAGTTGTTCTAGTACTATGGAACTTCCAGTCCTTGATCTTCCTTTGGCCCTGGAGAGCTTCCCATTACTGAATGCAATGAATATCTCTTTCACTTAGCCTTTTTGTTTCGTTTTGTTTTTTGGCTTTTTGAGACACAGTCTTGCCATGCAGTTCAGGCTGACTTTGAACTCACTGTGCAGCCCAGGCTGGCCTCAAATTCATGGCAGTCCTCCTGCCTCATCCTCCTGAGTGCTGGAATTATAGGTGTGTGTCACCACACCTGGCAGATCTTTACATTATTTTATTTTATTTTATTTATTGTAGTTTATTTTTGAGACAGGGACTCACTATACAGTTCAGGCTGGTCTTGAGCTCATTTTGTAGCCCAGGCTGGTCTCAAACCCACAACTATCCTCCTGCCTCAGCCTTCTGAATGCTGGGATTCTAGGCATGTGCCACCATGCCCTGCTTACATAATTTTATTTACCATACCTGTACTGCTGACTTTTGCCAGTCTGTGAAAAGTGCTATAGGGAATCTATAGGCATAGATTTTGTTCTTGAGAAAGAAATATAAAATTAAGTAACCCCAGCTACATGGGAGGCTGAGACAGGAGGACTGCAAATTCCAGGCCATTTTGAACAACTTAGTGAGACATTGTGTCAAAATAAAAACATTTAAAAGGTCTGGGGATGTAGCTCCCTGATGGAGTACTTGCCTAAACCCCTGGTCTACATAGAGATACCCTGTCTGAAAACAAACAAACAAACAAACTCAGTTCTGGTCATGCAGCCATTCCTAACTCCATCTCCAAATCTTCAGAAGATGCTTACAATGTACCAAGTTAAATCCACCCTCTTTCATCTGTAATTTAAGGCCCTATACAAGCTGGTTTAAGCTAGTCTGTTCAGATTTATTTCTTTCTGTTCCCCTTCAAATTCCCTCAAATCAAATCAAAGTGGATGGCACAAAATCTGCCCTAAATCTGCCCAGTGCCTACTGAATACCTGCATGCATGTACAGGAAATCAATCATGTTTTCTCACTTTTTTGTTCTTGCTTTTTCTGTTCTGTCTGTCACCCTCTGTACCCAGTCCTTCTTTACAAAGTGTTACACATTCTTCAAGGTTGGTCCATATCTAACACTGCTTCCTAGACATGACTACCCATTCCTCTGAATTTCATTATGAGTATTTTTTTTTTCTTTTGCAGTACTGGGAATTGAATCCAGGGCTTTGCATCAACTAGGCAAACACTCTACCATGAATTACACCTTGGCCCTGAACTTCGTTGATTAAATGAATTCTTTTTTCTTGACCTCTGATGTAACTCAACCTTCCTAAGTTTGTCCTCTGTTGTGCTCCCAACATTTTGTTCACTACTAAAGCAAGCATCATCATGTTATAGTTGGTTGTGAGTGGGTTTATCATCTGATTTCTCCCCTCTACCTCCTCACACTAGATTTTGAACTTTCAGGAAGGACTTCTTTTTTATTCTTTCTATTACCTGCATTTCATACTTGACATATAGCTGGTATGCAATACAATTTTGTTGACTTGGTCCAAACTAAAGTGGACTTAAAACTGCAGCATGAGCAATTGGAGGACTTCCTAACGAAGAGGGAAAGGTCTGGGGCTTCTTCCCTGAATTTTTTCAGTGGAGAAAACCTTCTATCTTGGAAGAACTTCCCAGGATTTGGGAAGATGGGGGGGGAGAAGGCGGATCCCAATAGGCCCAGTCAGCTCAAGAAGTCTGTAATGCAGCTCATCATAATCAAGACAACCGGGAATGGCCTATTTCCAGGGTTCAGTAGCATAAACCTGCTAGGCTCTGTGGAAGCCACTCTCAGGCAAGAAGTCTGGAAAGGAATCCCTTTCCATGGCCTTTAGATTTAGATTTCCCTGCCTATCTATCCCTCAGAGAAGTGTGTCTGTGTCCCTGTTTCTGTCCCTTTTCTTTACCACCCCCCAACATTCCAGCCTGGGGCAGGGGGAGGCCAGCACACACAAAGCCCTCTGTGTCTGGGGTGGTATGTGTCCCCCCACCCCTCCACCCAGAGTGTACAATGCCCCTTCTGCTCCCTGCACTCTGCTGTGCTCCCCACCACCTCTCAACTGCACATGCCAGGCCGCAATTGGTTACTGGCTCAGGACAGCCCCCTCATGCTGACACCCCAGGGGATTTTAAGGAGGTTCCAGGAACCTCCCGCTCAGTTCCTTGTCCCCCACTCTCTCCATCCCACAGATGCTCTGGGCCCCGGCCCCGGCCCCTGCGCCAGCTATGGCTCCTGGGGCCCCCTGGTCCAGCCCCAGCCCTGTCCTGGCTGCACTGCTCTTCTCTTCTTTGGGTAAGTGGAGCCACCGCAGTCTAGGAACCCTGCATCTCAGGTGCATCCTTGCACTCCTCATTGCCAAGAGCTGGTATGCAATGCAGTAAGGCATTGTTCCTTTCAGGAAAAAAAAAGTCATTTAGAAGGAAGCAGGAAAGGTATTCTGTGAAGGGAGGTGATAAAAGAGAGCTTCCCTGAGTGGGCATGGGTGGGGCAGAGTGGGAAGCCAGGTCATACCCCCAGGGTCACGCTGAGAGCCTGCAGGAAGTGGTGTTAGAACACAGGAAGGAGCGTCATCAAACACCGAGTTCTGCTCTCCACCCAAGCCCTAATAGTACAAGAGGTGCCCAACCTTAATTTCCCAGAAAAGTCAAGGACTTTGATGTAAGAAGGGAGTCCAAGTTTGGTGGGCTCAGCTCCAAAGACTCTTTACTTCTTGGTGTCTCTTATGTGGCAAATGGAGGTGAAGGGAGGTTCTACGAGATCCCAGGATCTTGTCCTTTTAAAGCTGTCTTGTTCCGTAAGTGGAACAGCTCCTTCCCTTCCCTCTGGCAGACACTGGGTGAGCAAGAGAAGGTCTGCCATGCGTGATGGTGCATGCCTGTAAGCCCAGCACTTGGGAGGCTGAGGCAGGAGGATCGTTTTGAGTTCGAGACCAGCCTGGGCTACAAAGTAAGCTCAAGGCCAGCCTGAACTGCGTAGTGAGAACTTGTCTCAAAAAGACCAAAAAACAAAAGAGAGAGAGAGAGAGAGAGGGTCAAAGCAGGGTTAGTTGTAGGCCCTTGCCTTTTCCAAGCTGCCCTGAATCCTAGTGTGATACATGAGCAATAGGCAAGTGAAGGTGGGAGCTGATGAAAAGCAGGGGAGGGGGACAGGTCAGAGAGTCTCAGTTCTCACTGTCAGCACCTTGAGTCATAACCCCAGAACCTAGATGGTTTGGGGCTCTACTGGACTATTCTGGAACACCCTGAGAAAATGTTAAGGATAGAAATTGGATTGGGACACGGTGAGGTAAATGGGGAGAGGGAATCTTGGAGTATAAGGAGGAGAGAGTTCTGTATCAATACTTGGCCCACTCATAGAACCGTTGAGCTGAGCAAAGCAGTGGTTGTTATCATAGCAGGAGGAATAGAAAGAAGTTAGATCCAATGAGTAACGTCCTTTGTTACGCTGGGGATTCCCAAGACAGTCAGGTGGAAGGCCCAGGAGGTGAATTAATGATATTGCATGCTGAGGCAGGAGACTCAGGACAGTGGGAGTGAGGGTGGGGTTGGCATGAGCCCCCAATATTGGTCAGACAATGCGATTTTGTTTGGGTGCCTTCTCCCTCTGTAAAACAAAAGGGCCTACAGTTGTCCCCATCCAGGGCCAGCCCACACACATAATCTCCCAGGAATGGCCTTCCTTGTGTGGGTGAGTCTTGGAGACAGCACATGGCCAGAGCAGCCAAGAGGAGGGTGAGAATGGTTGAACCACAGCGGCTCACATGCACAGTGATCTGAGCTCTAGGCCTGGGTTCTTGCTCTGCACCCAAATTCCCCTGACAGGGGATGAGATTCTTCTTACCCTGGCAAGAGCAAGCTGTCTAGCAAACAGGTATTCAACAGTCAGGACAGCTGTGTAAGGGAAGAAGACATATGTCCTGTAGTTACCTTCATTTCTTTTCTGCAAGAAATTTAAGTTTGCTGTACTATGAGATACTATACAGCCATCAAAAATAAGATAAATGTGTATGAATCAACATGAAAATCTCTCCCAGACATACATGTTCTTAAGCCAAAAGAAAAAAATTTTAAAAGTAGAATACAATACAATGTGTATTTTTAGAAAATGGCTCCACAAAACTACCCATTTGTTGTAAGTACAAGTATGTCTTGGGTTTATTGAGTTTATATTCATTCTGATACAAAAGAAAAGCATCTATTAAACTGTTAACTGTGGTTCTATGTAGGAGGGGGCTACAGGAAAAGAACTGGGGTGTATGTGTCAAAGGAAGCTTTAGCTTTATCTCTATTGTTTGAATGGTTTATAAGACGGATGCAACATATATTACCTGAATAAATTTATAAAAATTTAAAAACCCTCATCTAAAGGAGAGCTTGTGAACTAGACAGTGGCTCAAAGGAAAAGTGAGACTTGGAGATGACCCAGCCTCTGGAAGTCTGCAAGAGGCTGCTGCTGCTGACTTCATTTCCCCTCCATACTTGCTGAGACCTTGGACAGAGAGACACAGCATTTACATTCATCAATTCAGCTGGCCTAGAGATTTGGGCCTCAGAATCAGTTGTCTTTGCTATGGGTTCCAATGGGTAACTCAGCCTTGCCTGCCTGTTGGTCTCCCATCCTCCAAAGCCCTCACTCAGCCCACGTGTGTATCTGATTTCCCCTCTGTACTTGCAGTGCTGTCCCCAGCCCAGGCTATTGTGGTTTACACGGACAGGGAGGTCCATGGTGCTGTGGGATCCCAGGTGACCCTGCATTGCTCCTTCTGGTCCAGTGAATGGGTCTCAGATGACATCTCTTTCACCTGGCGCTACCAGCCCGAAGGGGGCCGAGATGCCATTTCGGTGAGTGCCTGAGGGAATCCTGGGGTTTGATGACACGACAGTGCTTCCAAGAACAGAAAAGAGAATTTGGGCTAAGGATGGGGAAATTCTCCATGAGCCATAAGCCCAACTTTGGCAAGGTAACTAGCAATCTTTGACACACTGACTAAGACCTGTCTTCTTCAGCACCGCCTTTCCAAGCCAGGATCCCTTACCCCGAGGCTGGGGCCCTACCTCGACAGCTTTGCTTTCCCTTTAGGGTCCCTTCACCTGCTTTCCCTCTTGCTCACAGATCTTCCACTATGCCAAAGGACAGCCCTACATCGACGAGGTGGGGGCCTTCAAAGAACGCATCCAGTGGGTAGGGGACCCTCGCTGGAAGGATGGCTCCATTGTCATTCACAACCTAGACTACAGTGACAACGGCACTTTCACTTGTGATGTCAAAAACCCGCCAGACATAGTGGGCAAGACCTCTCAGGTCACGCTCTATGTCTTTGAAAAAGGTGTGAGAAGCGACAGGGGACAGAGAACCCGGGAAGGAGTTCAGGGAGGGACAACAGGCTGGGGGAAGAGGCAGAAAGCACGGCGCGAGGATGTTCAGGCTGTGCGGGCAGGACCAGGGGGCTGGGCCGAAGGCAGCCTCGGCTTGCACTCCTACATCCCTAACCGCAGGGCAGGTCCCTGCTCATCCCCCTACTTCTCCCTGGCCTGCTAGTGCCGACTAGGTACGGAGTGGTGCTGGGAGCCGTGATCGGGGGCGTCCTCGGGGTCGTGCTGTTGCTACTGCTGCTTTTCTACCTGATTCGGTACTGCTGGCTGCGCAGGCAGGCGGCTCTGCAGAGGAGGCTCAGGTAAAGGGGCGGAGCCTGACTCCCCACCCTCAGTCCCCCGCCCCCTTACGCACACCTGGGTGGAGACTGCTCCAGTGGGTGGGAGGGACAAAGGAAACCGGAAGAAGCGCCCGAGGGGCTACGGTTCTAAAGAGGCCAAACTCACGGCGCCCCTTGTCGCGCAGCGCCATGGAGAAGGGGAAGTTGCACAAGGCTGCAAAGGACTCTTCGAAGCGTGGGCGGCAGGTTAGCGGGACTTGGGAACGAGCAGGGGAGGACCCGGGGAGCGACCGGGCAGGGCGGCGGTGAAGGGCGGGCTGGGAACCGGGGGTCCCCACCAAGCCAAGGCCTGAGGTGCGCGCTCCTCCCCTCAGACGCCCGTGCTGTATGCCATGCTGGACCACAGCAGAAGCACCAAAGCTGCCAGCGAGAAGAAGTCCAAAGGGCTGGGGGAGTCTCGCAAGGATAAGAAATAGCGGTTAGCGGGCCGGGCGGGGGCTCGGGGGTTAGGGGCGGAGCCCTCCAAAGGCGCTCGGGTGGTGGTCATCGAGATGGAGCTACGGAAGGATGAGCAGAGCTCGGAGCTCCGGCCTGCTGTCAAGTCCCCCAGCAAAACCAGCCTCAAGAACGCCCTCAAGAACATGATGGGCCTGGACTCGGACAAGTGATCACCGCCCCCCAGGCCCTGCCAGAGCAGGGGGACCTAGGCTCCTCTCATCCCCCGTCTAGGTGCTTTCCTCCCTTGCTCCCCAGCCCCTGCCCTGCCCTCACTTCCTCTGAGATGTAAGTTTCATTCCAAAATTCATTCCCAAGCACTTGTATTCTCCCCCATTTTCACATCCTGGGTTTCTGGGAACCCAAGGCTAATCCTACCGCTCACCTGCCCCAAGGGCTGTGTGTTTGGTGCCTGCCCCTCTGGCACCAAGAAGAAAGGGACCTTGACAGCCGCAGTCTCAACTTCAGGCCACCTGGCCTTCCCATCCCCTGCACCCCAGCTGGACCCCTCTGGCTCCTGACCTTCCTGCCCTTCCTCCCCTCTATCAGGTGGCCCGGCTCCACGTTCAGTGTTCCCACTAACACCCAGGTCACACAGATCATACTCTCCTTCAGGGTTTATTTAGGTTATTGATTATTTTTTATTTTTTAATCCATTCTTCGTTTGTTTGTTTACCTATGCCCATGCTCTGCCCTTGCTCTGCCCTGACCCCCATGACTGAGGACCAATGACGTCATGTGGCTTTTTGCAGTCCCCCACCCCATGAAGTCCTTCATGGAGATCCAACCCAAGCTGAGGGGCCCCAAATCCTCAGCCCTCAGCTGCAAGGTGGATGCCCCACCCACTCACCACTTGGGAGTGCAGTTCTGAGACTCAAGATCCTGAGAAAAGAGAGAGAGAGAGAGAGAAACAATGGATCCTCAGAGGTCCAGGTTGAAGCAGAGGGCAAATGAGCCTCAAAAGTGGCTTTAAACAATCAAACAGAAAGCAGGAAAAACAAATGGGAAATCAGGGGCAGAGGAAGAGGCTGTACTCCCAGCCACAGGGAATTCTTGGGAATTTTTCTACATTCTGTATATTTCTTCTCAAACCCGCAAATGTCCTTAAATGTTTAATAAACACTGACCTTTCCAGAAGCTGCTGTCTCTATCTTGTATTTCCTCATTCTCCAGGGAACAATTCCCAACCTTTCTTTTATCTTTGGCTTCCCATACTGCCTCCTTATCAACTGGTTTCTGCTGTTAAGTTTGGTCTGAGGATATGAGCTGATATGAGGAGAGAAAGAACTCTGAAATAGGCCTGCCAGATGTGTTTGTACGTTCAGCAAATCTCCAGTGAGCTTGTACTGTGTGCTAAACTGTCAGGCTCTGTTTTTACGAGAGTAGAAACAGAATCATTCTCTATCAAGATCTGAATTCTAAAACATCTCAGTCGTTCACTAGCTGTGTGACCCATGATAGTTAAATTTGGTATGCTTCATGCATTTGTAAACTGTGAGACCATGATACCTGCCCTATTTAATTCCCAGAAGTTTTGTGGTTCTTAAATGAGATGCTGTGTGTGGAAATCTTCTTAAACTACAAGTCAATACACAATTAAGATATTACAGGTCATTTCCTTGAAAGAAACTGTGTAAATTTATTTTTATTAGTACATGTGTGCAGTACAGGAAGATGTTTCTAACTCTTGCTTAAAGGAGTACACGTTAGGCTGGGCATGGTGGTGCATGCCTGTACTCCCAGTACTTGGGAGGCTGGGGCAGGAGGACTGCTACAAGTTCGAGGCCAGCCTGGGCTACAAAGTGAGCTCAAGGCCACCCTGAAGAGGTGATAAGGTCTCACTGCAGAGTGAGACCTTATCTCAAAAAGACCAAAAGGGAGGAAAAAGGAGTATATTTTATAAACTAGTACATATCTCATTACCTCTCCACAAACACAACTTTGATTTGTTGGTAAACTATTTTATTTATTTATTTTAAAATTAATATTATTACGTATATTTTGAGATAGGGTCTCACTGTGTAGTTCAGGGTTCCTTGAACTCATTGTGCAGTCCCGGCTGTCCTCAAACTCATGGCAATCCTCCTGCCACAGCCTTCCAAGTGCTGGGATTACAGGTGTGCATCACCAGGCCTGGCTGTTGGTACACTATTTTAGATACGCTTTTAGTAGTACATTGGCTAATTATTTGGTATGCAATGTACATATATCATTAATGTCCTGTAATCCTTAAATTACTGTGGAAAAATATACATGTATGGTTTTCCTGTGGGGGATCACTGGTGGCAAAAACCAAAACTCCCACAGGTCATTTGTTCTCCTTTTTAAGAGGCTAAAGATGGGATTAGCACTAGCTTTGCCAAAACCCACAGTGCTTCCATTTATTTGGGGGTGTCCCTTGCTTCTTTTAAAAAAAATCTGTGTTAATTTTAATATAAAACCTAATAGATGCTAGAGAACTTTTTGAGGGGTGAGAGAGGAACCTAAGGCACAACTCAATAAAGTTGGGGCTATTTAAGTGAAAGATTTCTTATTAGTTAAGGTACTAACCTGTCCATTAGTTATTAGATAGTTCCAGCTGGGCAGCTGGGTACCTTGTTGAAACCTTCTGGCCTTTTATTGGAATCAAATGAGATATGTCACTTCTGAGATATGACATATCTTAAATTGTCTCATTTAATTATACTTTTCTTCTAAAAATGATCAGTGCTGCCTCTGACCAGCTCTATTTACCCAAATGATTGAATACTGTATTTGCAATTCCATCAAGGTTGATGGTATTCTGAAACAGCATCTTGCAACCCTTCACTGGCGAATCTTGCTTATTTTACCATTGTTTGTCTGAAGACCACACTGCAGCTGAGTGATGAGTCTGTAGAAGGACGTTAAATTTCCACGTTGTGGGCTCTACACAAAAGTTGTGTATACATCATCAGCTGACCATATGGTTTGTCGTATCTTAAAGAGCACCGTTTCTTCCTCTATGCCAATATAATGTTAAAAGTTCCTTTCAAGTACAACCATAGATATTATATTCTGATCCCCTTGACTACTAACGTTAGTCAGTCTTTACTGATTTGTTAATTATTTTTACTCAAAGGACTGTTTCTAACATCACCAAGCCCACTAGGCCCTGTCAAATAAAAACAATACCTGGCTTAAACTGTGCTTAACCTGAGACTGGCGGACAGCAGAACCACCGTGACCTGACAGAAGCATTCCTGCATGGCAGTTCCCGCATCCTCCTCACCTTAAAATCAAATACAAAAATCTCGGCCTCTCACCCCAATTGTTCAGTCCCCTTTTGAGCTCACCTACTGCTCTCTTGCACTGCATCAATAAACCCTTAACATCTCTGTATTTCTTTTTATTGAATTAAGTTTATTGGTGCATTTTAGGTATACATACTGACCACATTTATCTTAAGAAATTTTCACCTGTACATGCTATAAATTGATTCTTTTTTTCCCATTCCCCTACCCTCCTTTCAACCTCTCTTCCCCTCATTATTTCCAAAAGCTTTGTTTCCATTTTTTCCTTCTTTTCTCATCATTTTTCCCTTTCTTTCCTCCTTCTCTTTCTCTAGTTCCACTTCCCATTTGAATATTTTCTTCCTATGTCACAATATCTATTACATATTTTGGTCCTTATTTACACTTTTGGTTTCTCATGCCAGAAAACCAATATAGTATTTACACATATGTGTCTGATTTATTTCACATAAGAGTATGGTCTCAGGTTTCATCCATTTAGCTAGAAATGTCTGAAGCTTATCCCATATGTCAGAACATCTCAGTATTTCTTTCTTTCTTCCTTCCTTTCTTTTTTTTTTTTTTTTTTTTTTTTTTTTTTTTTTTGAGATAGGGGCTCTTTATGCAGTTCAGGCTAACCTTGAGCTCACTTTGTAGCCCAGTCTGATCTTGAACTCAAAACAATCCTCCTGCCTCAGTCTCCCAAGTGCTGGGATTACAGGCGTGTGCCATCACACCCAGCCTGTCTCTGTATTTCTTGATTATAGTTAAATTCTCTTTACCACTTGTGGCACCAGCATCTCACACACTGCACCTTTCAGGGCACTATCCACAATGTATCACCACAAACATCACACACTTTTATGAATTTATCTATGACTATGTTCTTTTTTCATAATTCCAGCCAATGTAAATTACATTCATCTCTCTTCTCGAATAAAGCATTAAATAAAGCCTATAATGATTCAGGTAAAAGAAAATAGCATTATCCCATGGGAAACTTTGAATTCCATCTAATTGTTACTTTAAAAAAAAGTCATTCATGATTGCCTTAGTTACTTTTCTCACTGCTGAGACAAAATACCTGACACTCAAAATTAGAGGAGGAAAGGTTTATTTGGCTCACAGTTTGCAGAGGTTTCAGTTCACAGTGGGCTGGCTCCAAGGCAGTGTGGCATGGCAGAGGAGCATTGCAGAGGAGAAACAGTTCATGGCAGGCAGAACGCAGCAAGCCTGCAAGCTACAAGCAAGAAACAGCAGCACTCTTTCTGTCCCTTACATACCATCCAGGCTACCCACCCTGAGGGACCCAGGATGGAGCACTCTTAATCTTACCCAGAACTATGTCAAACCAATCAGTGGACTAATTTAGTAATCACACACTCTTAATCCTAGCATCACATACTTAATCCTATCACATACTGTAGATCCAGCCATTCTAAAAAGTCCACCTATGATCACATGAGGCTTTGGGAGGACATCTAGCCCCAAGCCATAACAATGATCTTCAGTACCTCATTAATATCAATTTTGACCAGACATGTGAACACTTTAAGGTAGTAAAGCCTCTTCCACTGTTAACCTTAAGTTTAAAAGATTATAACCCAATTTATGAATACACATAAAAATTTGATTAAATTAGCAAATAGAATCCTACAAGCAAACAAAATAATAAATTATGATCATGAAGAATTAAGTCCAGGAGGCTGGGTGTGGTGGCACATGACTGTAATCCTAGCACTTGGGAGGCTGGGACAGAAGGATTGCTGTGAGTTTGAGGCCAGCCTGGGCTACAAAGTGAGTTCAAGGCCAGCCTGGACTACACAGCAAGAACCTGTCTCAAAAAGACAAAAAAAAAAGTTTGGAATGAAAGAATATGTCAGGATTATGAAATCCTCAAAATGAATTATATTAACCTAGAGGAAAGAACATATTGTAGAGCTCCTGGAGGGAGGGCCCCCAGCGCACGGGGAGCCTTGGACGGGGAGTGCTGGTCTTTGGACCAGCGGCTCACTCCCGGCCTCGTAGTTCCCCGGAAGGAGGGCTTCCGGCGCACAGGGAGCCACGGGTGGGGAGCGCCAGTCTTCCGGCTGGCTAGCTTCCTGCCTCGTAGCTCCCGGAGGGAGGGCCCCCAGTGCACGGGGAGCCTCGGGGGGGGGGGAGCGCTGCTCTTCGGACAGGCGGCTCACTCCTGGCCTCATAGTTCCCCAGAAGGAGGGCTTCCGGTGAACAGGGAGCCAGGGGTGGGGAGCGCCGGTCTTCTGGCTGGCTAGCTTCCTGCCTCATAGCTCCTGGAGGGAGGGCCCCCAGTGCACGGGGAGCCATGCGGCGGTGAGCGCTGTTGCGCGCCGGCCACCACCGTTCAATTGAGATCTATCATGACACAGACAAACAGTGACACAATTGGCACACCATACACCGACTGCAGTTGCCCACCCACAGATGTGTGTGAATCGTTCAAACTTTGAACAACCCCTGGGAATACATGCCATACAATGGGACACTCTTGCTCCTGCCATTGAGAACCAGAAAGGTCCAGAGCCAGCAGAGGAGCAGCTGCTGAACAAGGACTCAGAGAACATGAGAATGCAGACAGCCCACGGAGTCAGAGGTCCAGTGGACTGGGGTCACGAGAGCCGCTCGGAAGCTGTAAACCAGGAGGACCTTGCACAATACCTGCAGAGACTCCCTGGAAGCCATTCTTCCCCTGACAGTACAGGCTGTGGTGGAGCTCTGGAGAAGTCTGCAGCAGGATTCCTGCTGCCTGTGCTGACAGTTGGGGAGAGGACACTAACTGGTTGTGGGGTCCCAATGCGATGGGAGGCTGGAGAGAAAACGCTACAAAAAAAATGGCTTTCGCCCCAGACGGCTCACTTGATTTTTGAC